TTCCTGCTCCTCTGATGCTGCTTGGCCTGCTGTGTTCATCCAGCTGTACACCTTGTTATCTCAGATTCTCCAGCATCTGCAGTCCCTACTATCTCCCCCAGTATGAATATGTTTTCTGTTCTTCTCTTGTGAGCCTATGTACATCTAATGCATGTTGTTGAGTGTGTGTGTGTTTGTGTGTGCGTGTGGCATATTTAACATCATGCTGTGACCATCCATTGTGTTAAAAGTCAGTAACAATAAGCTCATTCCAATATCAACCACTCACCACCTTTCTTGTTGCTGTGTGGATTTGCAGCTCTGGAGTGATGAGGTGACAAAAGTAAGTATCTGAAATGAAAACGCGCCGGGAAATATAGGTACTGGAAAAACTAGACTGCTGATCACTTGGTGATCTGGGGGGACCTTACTGACGAGATTTTTTACCATCTCGAGATGAATCAGCCCTGAACTCTGATCACTTAGAAACAGGGCTATGACCCCCTCAACTTGAAATCTGAACTTGTCGGGGCGTTTCAGATCAGAGCTATTCCCACCCGCAGTCTTTTTACATTCTGAATGTTAAAGGCCCACGGGCTGTCAAAATGTGAACAGGGTACCAGAAATTCGCTGACAACACCCAGGCATGAGTTGGTGCTGTACAGGAGAGAAAGAGCTCTCGTTGCAGAAGGGTTGCTGAAGGTACACTAGAAGGAGAGTGGGGTGGGAGGGGAGGTGGTATTCAGACATGGTTTGTGTACACACTACAGCCCAAGGGAGACTAGGCCCAGGGTGCAATTTGTGCTGAGCAGAGAGAGCAGAATGAGTTCACTCATCGCCTTCTTGCATTCATTTTTCCATACGCAAATCTGGATCCAAGCCAGTCAGTGAGGCAGAAAGCCTCCTCTTTGTGCGGAGAGTTTATTCACTTCTCAGTCTTACAGCTCCTTCCACACTTCCAGTGCTACAGATGCACCCCTTTAGATTTTATTTTTCTGTAACCAACCTGTTCAGAGATGTCAGGATACACACCCCTGGAGCAGATGGGATTTGAACCCAGGCCTCCTGACTTGGAGGTAGGGACACTACCACTACGCCACAAGAGTTGCTTCTCTCCCTATATATTTTTTGAATCTGGGCCTCTTGGTCCAGGGGTAGGGATACTACCACTGTGCCACAAGAAGGCCCTTGGGTGTGCTTTTTTTTATTCTAACCAACCTGTTCAGAGATGCTATGACACACCTCTCGAGCAGATGGGACTTAAACCCAGGCCTCCTAACAGAGAGGTAGTGACACTACCACTGCACCACAAGAGCCCTCTCTCTCCCTGTATATACGCTCAGACAATTAAAGTAGCCACCCTTGTTTCTTCTTAACCCTAAATGAAAGTTAACAATGTGAATAACTGGACATTAAACTCCTTCCCCCTCACCACCACCCAGAGGCCCAGAGAAACAGGAAATCTATTACATTATCGCTGAGGATGGGGATTAAAACCCGGCGATAATTCAAATTTATAAAGTGGTCTTTCGGGCTCAGTGCAGCAATATGGACGTGGGGTTATCCCATTCCAGTTTCCAATCCAGAAATCTGGGTGGAGGTAGAAATGTCAAAAACCACTGAAGATAGGAGGAACCTGCCAAGGCATCACAAGGCTGTGGGCGAAGTGCTGGAATGTGGGATTAGAATGGTGAGGGACTTGTTTTGGACCAGTACAGACTCGATGGGCCAAAGGGTTTTCCCTGCTGTTGACCTCTATATTTTGGAGTGAAACTAGATGCTCATGTGAACCACAGAAAGTACATGTTTACAAAGCAATTAGGAATGCCCCTGGTATGATGGTGTTTTATTCACAACCGTGTTGTATTTGAAGAGTAGGGGCATCTTACTGCAGTAATATAGACCATTGGTGAGGACACACCTAGAGCACTGTGTGCAGTTTTGGTATGTCTGCCTAAAATTGGACACGTTCATCCTGGGGGGAGTGTGTCAAAGGTTCACTAGATTCGGGATGAGGTGATTATCCCACGAGGAAGGATTGAGTAGACGTGACTTAACCTTCCTTGGAGTTGGAAAGACTGAAAGGTGATCTCATTGAAGCATATAAAATCTTCAAGGCCATGACAGGGTAGATACAGAAGTCATGTGTCCCCTCCCACTCTGCACCAGAGAATCTAGGAGATGGGGTCACTGTTCATTCTCTTTATTCAGAGGATTGTGAATCTTTGGGATTCTCTTCCTTCCTTGCAGATACTCCGTGGTTGAGTATGTTCAAGACAGAGGTCGGTAGATTTTTGGGTCCTAAGGGAGTGAGGGGACGTGGGGCTAGGAGGAGCTAAGGCAAAAGATCAGCCTCAATTTGTTGAAGCCTGGAGCAGGCCAAGGGGCTGAATAGTCTTATCCAGTTCCTAGTTTGATGTGTTCAGTTCATCAATGAACAATGCAGTAAATACTGCAGCAAATATCAAACAGCTGAATGTACAAAACTGCAATTAATAAGACCATGGTTGATCTGATCATTCCACATTCCTACCTACCCTCCCCTGATTACCTTTCACCCCCTTAATTATCAAGAATCCATCTCCCTCTGCCTTAAAAATATTGAAATGCTCTACTGCCACCGCCTTTTGAGCAAGAGAGTTCCAGAAGATTCTTTGCCGTGAGAAACGAAATTCTCCTGTTCCTCTCTCTCAAATGGGTTATTTTTACATGGTTCAGAGATTCAGAGTTCAGCCCTGATTGTGTCTCCCAGATCACATTTGGCTCTTCTGTTGTTGTTTTTCACCCGTTTGGGTCTCAAATACCTAAAATCTAAAACATGGGCAGTTGGCTTTCGAACAAGGTAGAGATGGGTAGTTAAGGTACACTGATGATGTTTGATATTGTCCCTTGTATCTACCCTGTGCCCAACGCTCTAGTTTTTTCAATGCCTCCGGGGAAGGAGCGGAGGAGATTGAAGGGCTAAAGCTGCAATACAAGGGTTATGTGTAGACACTTGTACAACTGCTCGTGGTATTCATGCTGTGTCTCTAACTATTGCCTTATGCATGTTGATCTTTGCAGATTTGAGTGAAGTGAAATTGCAAATCTGAAATTCACATTCCTGTTCCCAGCATGCCTCAGGATCTGATGGCTCTCCAGTTCCTTTCTAAATTAAATCTATCCGTCTCAAAAAATGAATTCAAAAGACTCAAATCTGCAATTTTAAAGAAACCACTTTGTTGTGATTGATTTCTGAAACAAATTGTATCCTTTACCTCCAAAGATTAAAACAAATGCTGTCTTTTTAAAGAGTTATGTGTTGCAGCTTTATAGACAGTTCTTGGCTTTCCTTTGGGAACTGTTCTTAATTTTTTTCGGGAAAAATTACATCAATATCTTTTAACAGTTTAATTAAATAACCACAAATGGAATATGGATCATTCTAGAAAATGACAGGTGTGTGTTCAAGGGATTGGCTAGATATTGATGATTTGGGAAAATGCCCAAAAGCTAAAGCCTTGGTTACCACTTTCCACTGAGTAGACTGAGCTTGAGGAGCTGTGATGGAGTGAGATCATCTGTAGACAGCTTCACCTTGTGTGGGACTTTGTTTCAGTCCTGCATCTATGTACAAAAGGTTCAGGTGCTAGACTTGATCTGGGACAACTTTCTCTTTTTCAGAGCTAGCTCCCATGTGCTCCCTGATTAAGGGGGTGCATTGTTTAAGAAAATCGAGAGCTTGAAGTTCTTCAGAATATAATACCCATTCCCATGTTTTTAACGCTGCAGCTGTATTAACACCAGTGTGTTGCTGCCGTTGGTATGTGTTTTCATTTTGCCTTAATGCATGAGAAAACACTTGAATTTAAACACCTGCTGTTAGCCCTTTGTACCTCTAATCAGAGCTCTTTAGACATGGCTCAGTGGTCAGCACGGCTGCCTTGCAGCACCAGCGACCCGGGTTCGATTCCAGCCGAGGGCCACTGTTTGTGTGGAGTTTGCACATTCTCCCTGTGTCTGCGTGGGTTTCCTCCGGGTGCTCCGGTTTCCTCCCACAGTCCAAAGATGTGCAGGTTAGGTGGATTGGCCACGCTAAATTGCCCCACAGTGTTCAGGGATGTGCAGGCTGGGTGGGTTGGCCATGGGAAATGCAGGGTTACAGGGATAGGGTAGAGGTGTGGATCTGGGTGGGATGTTCTTTGGAGAGTTGGAGCAGATTTTTGATGGACTGAATGGCCTGCTTCCACAAAGTAGGGATTCTATGATTCCATTAGATTGTCCATTTTTGGTTATCTTGCACTGGGTGATGAATTGTAACTTGCTTCAGAACCAATCCCTAAAACCTGGTTTGCTGCTTTGTCTAATGTGGGGTAACACAGGTCTGTGAACATTATTGGGTCTGGTGGGGGTTTGAAAATGAATTATTGGTAATTAAATGCTAATTAATTGTATGCTTCTTACTTTGGAATGTCTAATGCAGTATCTCTCTAAATACAGGGTGTGTTTTTAAGCCTTCTAGTTGTATGTTTTAAATGGAATATCTTTGAGCATTGTTGACTAAGACATTGTCAAAGCTTTGGTCCTGCACTCATCAGGACAGTTCACAAGAATACCAATACAAAGGGGAGAGAAGAGAATGCTGATTGGTTGACATACTTACTAAACATTTTAAAATGTTGTTCCCCCTTTACACTGGTGTTTCTTTTGAATTACCCCGGTGAATGCAAGACAAAAACCTTTGACAAAATGTGTCTTCTTCAGCAGTGCTCTAGTACTGAACTGTCAAACGTTTACTTGAGCATTTTTATTTTAATTGTAATTAGAACAAAATGGACTGGAGAAACTCAGTAGGTCTGGCAGTATCTCTGACAAAGCATTGGTATTTTGAGGCCAATGTGACTGTTCAGAATTATAACCTGAAGAAGGGTCACTGGATATCAAATGTTATCTCTGGTTCTGTCTCCACAGATGCTGCCAGACATGCTGAGTTTCTCCAGCAATTTCTATTTTTGTCTCAGATTCCCAGCATCTGCAGAACTTTGCTTTTATCACTGTGGTTATATTTGTCTGTGTCTGACCAATGGCCAGTGCTGTTATTCATTTGGTGCTGCACATGGGAGGTCGAGGATGGAATATTAGATGATGATGATTGACACAGGTGTCACTGCAGAGCAGTGAGGTGTAGGAGCAATTCCTAACCTGCTCCTAACTCCGCAACAGGAGTGAGAGCAGGGACATAACAAAGCAATCCTGTCCAATATCCCTGACTGTACGCATGTCAACAGTTAGAGAGAGACCTAGTCAAGCCTACACTCTGCAGAGTTTAGCAGACTGACTAGCGATCTAATCGAAATATGTACA